TCTCACCACACACACAAATGATAAATATGAAAAGAATGAATGTATTAAATAACTTGATCTAGTCATTCTACAACACACAAATATTTCAAAATAAAATTTTGTGCACCATAAATCTATATAATTTTTACTTGTCCATGAACAACAAACACACATACACATAAGTATATAAAACAAAAGTATAAAATTACTAAAAGATAACATAGGAGAAAATCCATATGACCTTGGGTTTTGCAACTTTTTTAGATAAAACACAAAAGACAACCCAAATGAGAAAAAAATTGATAGGTTAAATTTCATTGAAGTTAAAATATTTTGCTTTGCAAAAGACAATACAAAGAGAATAAAAAGAACAAACCACCAAGCAGCAGAATATTTGTAAAAGGCATATGTGATAAAGGACTATTATCTAAAATACCCAAAGAACTGTTCAAATCAACAATAAGAAGGCAAGTAGTCTGATTTTTAAAGTGGCAAAGACCTTTACAGACATCTCACCAAAGAAGACACAGATGCATAGTAAACACATGAAAAGATACTCCATATCATATATCATCAGTTAAATGCAAATTAAAGAAAGATATTATTACACACCTATTGGAATGGAAAAATACATTTACAACATAAATACTGGCAATAAAGCTGGATAACAAAAACTTTTACTCCTTGCTGGTAGAAATGCAAAATGGTACAGCCACTTTGGAAGACAGTTTGGTGGTTTTGTACCAAACAAAAACATATTCTTACCATAAAATATGACAACTATACATCTTGATATCTATCCCAAAATGTTGAAAACATGTCTCCAGAAAAACCTGCACACAGATATTAAGAGCAATATTATATATAATTTCCCAAACTCAGAATCAACCAAGATGTTCTTCAGTAGGCAATGGATAATTAAACTATAATAGTTCAATGTATTATTTTTCAGCTTGAAAAAGAAATGAGCAATCAAGTCATTAAAAGACATAGAGGAAACTTAAATGCATATTTTTAAATGAAGGAAGTTAGTTTGTAAAGGCTACATATGGTATGAGTTCAACTTTATAATATTCTTGAAAAACCAAAACTATGAAAACAGTTAATTGATCAGTGGTTGCCTGAGATAAGGGGTGAGGGTGGCATGAATAGGAGGAGTTCAGAGAATGTTTAAGGCAGTGAAGCTACTCTGTATGTTATATAATAGTCAAACTAGACAACCTTAATGTAAACTATGGACTTTGGGTGACAATTGTGTGTCAATGTGGATTCCTCAGTTATAACAAATGTACCACTCTGACAGAAGATGTTGATAAGGAGGGAGTCTATGCATGTGTGGAGATGGTGGGTATATGAGCAATCCCTATACATTCACTCAATTTTTCTAAAAAATAGTCTTTTAAAAGTTTCTGGAAGTTTAGATTTAACCTGAGAATAAATAATTTGAAGGACTCAGCAATATGAAGTTCTAGGACAATTGCATTCTAGGGAGAGGGAACACACGTGAAAGTTTAATATTGTAGGCTAACACATGGTGAAAGATATATATATTTTTAAAACCAGTGTGACAAGTACATGGCAGAAAAAAGGAATAGTGCTACTACATAAGGTAAGGGAAATGATTGGCAGTCAGATTATTAAAGGCTCTATAAGCCAGAGCGAAAGAAAATTTTGTGTTATGACACCAATACACTACAAGGTTTTGACCAACAGGGGAACATGGTGGTTTTTGTATGGAGAATAGATGTGGAATAGTGGAGAGAGATTAGGCAAGGGTTACACTTATATTTAGAGGGCTTTGGCATTTCAAATGAGATAGAATTGCTGATCGGGCTACTAGTATAGAAGTTGCATAAATGCAATAAGTTAGACCAATTCAAATATTTTGGAAGTAGAAAGGACAAGACTTACTACTATCACACTAAGTAAATTAAAAGGAGTAATTAGGGAAGACTTACCAATTTTGGATTAAGTCACATATTGGGTACCAGGGCCATTTACTGAGTTGATGAGGACTTGGGGAGAAATAGGCTTCGGTGGAGGGATAACAGAAGTTCTCTTTGGAACATGTTAATTTTAAGATACCTGGAAAGCAGTTAAGTAGATGCCTAAATTAATTATTTGGATACATTAATTTGGAACTGAGTAATAAGTGAATACTAGGTTTACATATAAGATTCAACAACATGCCGGGCTCGGTGGCTCAGCCTGTAATCCCGCGCCTTTGGGAGGCTGAGGTGAGTGGATTGCCTGAGCCCGCGGGTTCGAGACCCGCCTGGGCAGCGAGACCTCATCTCTACAATAAATCAAAAAATCAGCTGGGCGTGGTAGCGCGCGCCTGTAATTCCAGCTACTTGGAAGGCTGA